TGGGCGGTCCATGATCCTAGTAACATTGCTTCACATTTTGTACCGGTACGGATTTCGCAGCTTCCCGGGCTCACAAACGCCCTTATATGGGGACGGTTCTTCATGCGGCGGGCCCGTTTGAAGGCAAAAAGAGCTGGAATCTCGTCCGAAGGTGTCTAGGATTGTGGCAAACACGATCGTGCTGGGCGGTCCATGATCCGAGTAACATTGCTTCACATTTTGTACCGGTACGGATTTCGCAGCTTCCCGGGCTCACAAACGCCCTTATATGGGGACGGTTCTTCATGCGGCGGGCCCGTTTGAAGGAAAAAAGAGCTGGAATCTCTTCCGAAGGTGTCTAGGATTGTGGCAAACACGATCGTGCTGGGCGGTCCATGATCCGAGTAACATTGCTTCACATTTTGTACCGGTACGGATTTCGCAGCTTCCCGGGCTCACAAACGCCCTTATATGGGGACGGTTCTTCATGCAGCGGGCACGTTTGAAGGAAAAAAGAGCTGGAATCTCGTCCCAAGGTGTCTAGGATTGTGGCAAACACGATCATGCTGGGCGGTCCATGATCCGAGTAACATTGCTTCACATTTTATACCGGTACGGATTTCGCAGCTTCCCGGGCTCACAAACGCCCTTATATGGGGACGGTTCTTCATGCGGCGGGCCCGTTTGAAGGCAAAAAGAGCTGGAATCTCGTCCCAAGGTGTCTAGGATTGTGGCAAACACGATCGTGCTGGGCGGTCCATGATCCTAGTAACATTGCTTCACATTTTGTACCGGTACGGATTTCGCAGCTTCCCGGGCTCACAAACGCCCTTATATGGGGACGGTTCTTCATGCGGCGGGCCCGTTTGAAGGCAAAAAGAGCTGGAATCTCGTCCGAAGGTGTCTAGGATTGTGGCAAACACGATCGTGCTGGGCGGTCCATGATCCGAGTAACATTGCTTCACATTTTGTACCGGTACGGATTTCGCAGCTTCCCGGGCTCACAAACGCCCTTATATGGGGACGGTTCTTCATGCGGCGGGCCCGTTTGAAGGAAAAAAGAGCTGGAATCTCTTCCGAAGGTGTCTAGGATTGTGGCAAACACGATCGTGCTGGGCGGTCCATGATCCGAGTAACATTGCTTCACATTTTGTACCGGTACGGATTTCGCAGCTTCCCGGGCTCACAAACGCCCTTATATGGGGACGGTTCTTCATGCAGCGGGCACGTTTGAAGGAAAAAAGAGCTGGAATCTCGTCCCAAGGTGTCTAGGATTGTGGCAAACACGATCATGCTGGGCGGTCCATGATCCGAGTAACATTGCTTCACATTTTATACCGGTACGGATTTCGCAGCTTCCCGGGCTCACAAACGCCCTTATATGGGGACGGTTCTTCATGCGGCGGGCCCGTTTGAAGGCAAAAAGAGCTGGAATCTCGTCCCAAGGTGTCTAGGATTGTGGCAAACACGATCGTGCTGGGCGGTCCATGATCCTAGTAACATTGCTTCACATTTTGTACCGGTACGGATTTCGCAGCTTCCCGGGCTCACAAACGCCCTTATATGGGGACGGTTCTTCATGCGGCGGGCCCGTTTGAAGGCAAAAAGAGCTGGAATCTCGTCCGAAGGTGTCTAGGATTGTGGCAAACACGATCGTGCTGGGCGGTCCATGATCCGAGTAACATTGCTTCACATTTTGTACCGGTACGGATTTCGCAGCTTCCCGGGCTCACAAACGCCCTTATATGGGGACGGTTCTTCATGCGGCGGGCCCGTTTGAAGGAAAAAAGAGCTGGAATCTCTTCCGAAGGTGTCTAGGATTGTGGCAAACACGATCGTGCTGGGCGGTCCATGATCCGAGTAACATTGCTTCACATTTTGTACCGGTACGGATTTCGCAGCTTCCCGGGCTCACAAACGCCCTTATATGGGGACGGTTCTTCATGCAGCGGGCACGTTTGAAGGCAAAAAGAGCTGGAATCTCGTCCCAAGGTGTCTAGGATTGTGGCAAACACGATCGTGCTGGGCGGTCCATGATCCGAGTAACATTGCTTCACATTTTATACCGGTACGGATTTCGCATCTTAACGGGCTCACAAACGCCCTTATATGGGGATAGTTCTTCATGCGGCGGGCCCGTTTGAAGGCAAAAAGAGCTGGAATCTCGTCCCAAGGTATCTAGGATTGTGGCAAACACGATCGTGCTGGGCGGTCCATGATCCGAGTAACATTGCTTCACATTTTATACCGGTACGGATTTCGCAGCTTCCCGGGCTCACAAACGCCCTTATATGGGGACGGTTCTTCATGCATCGTACCCGATTGAAGGCAAAAAGAGCTGGAATCTCGTCCCAAGGTATCTAGGATTGTGGCAAACACGATCGTGCTGGGCGGTCCATGATCCGAGTAACATTGCTTCACATTTTATACCGGTACGGATTTCGCAGCTTCCCGGGCTCACAAACGCCCTTATATGGGGACGGTTCTTCATGCGGCGGGCCCGTTTGAAGGAAAAAAGAGCTGGAATCTCGTCCCAAGGTGTCTAGGATTGTGGCAAACACGATCGTGCTGGGCGGTCCATGATCCGAGTAACATTGCTTCACATTTTGTACCGGTACGGATTTCGCAGCTTCCCGGGCTCACAAACGCCCTTATATGGGGACGGTTCTTCATGCGGCGGGCCCGTTTGAAGGAAAAAAGAGCTGGAATCTCGTCCCAAGGTATCTAGGATTGTGGCAAACACGATCGTGCTGGGCGGTCCATGATCCGAGTAACATTGCTTCACATTTTGTACCGGTACGGATTTCGCAGCTTCCCGGGCTCACAAACGCCCTTATATGGGGACGGTTCTTCATGCGGCGGGCCTGTTTGAAGGCAAAAAGAGCTGGAATCTCGTCCCAAGGTCTCTAGGATTGTGGCAAACACGATCGTGCTGGGCGGTCCATGATCCGAGTAACATTGCTTCACATTTTATACCGGTACGGATTTCGCAGCTTCCCGGGCTCACAAACGCCCTTATATGGGGACGGTTCTTCATGCGGCGGGCCCGTTTGAAGGAAAAAAGAGCTGGAATCTCGTCCCAAGGTGTCTAGGATTGTGGCAAACACGATCATGCTGGGCGGTCCATGATCCGAGTAACATTGCTTCACATTTTATACCGGTACGGATTTCGCAGCTTCCCGGGCTCACAAACGCCCTTATATGGGGACGGTTCTTCATGCGGCGGGCCCGTTTGAAGGCAAAAAGAGCTGGAATCTCGTCCCAAGGTGTCTAGGATTGTGGCAAACACGATCGTGCTGGGCGGTCCATGATCCTAGTAACATTGCTTCACATTTTGTACCGGTACGGATTTCGCAGCTTCCCGGGCTCACAAACGCCCTTATATGGGGACGGTTCTTCATGCGGCGGGCCCGTTTGAAGGCAAAAAGAGCTGGAATCTCGTCCGAAGGTGTCTAGGATTGTGGCAAACACGATCGTGCTGGGCGGTCCATGATCCGAGTAACATTGCTTCACATTTTGTACCGGTACGGATTTCGCAGCTTCCCGGGCTCACAAACGCCCTTATATGGGGACGGTTCTTCATGCGGCGGGCCCGTTTGAAGGAAAAAAGAGCTGGAATCTCGTCCGAAGGTGTCTAGGATTGTGGCAAACACGATCGTGCTGGGCGGTCCATGATCCGAGTAACATTGCTTCACATTTTGTACCGGTACGGATTTCGCAGCTTCCCGGGCTCACAAACGCCCTTATATGGGGACGGTTCTTCATGCAGCGGGCACGTTTGAAGGCAAAAAGAGCTGGAATCTCGTCCCAAGGTGTCTAGGATTGTGGCAAACACGATCGTGCTGGGCGGTCCATGATCCGAGTAACATTGCTTCACATTTTATACCGGTACGGATTTCGCAGCTTCCCGGGCTCACAAACGCCCTTATATGGGGACGGTTCTTCATGCGGCGGGCCCGTTTGAAGGAAAAAAGAGCTGGAATCTCGTCCCAAGGTGTCTAGGATTGTGGCAAACACGATCGTGCTGGGCGGTCCATGATCCGAGTAACATTGCTTCACATTTTATACCGGTACGGATTTCGCAGCTTCCCGGGCTCACAAACGCCCTTATATGGGGACGGTTCTTCATGCGGCGGGCCCGTTTGAAGGAAAAAAGAGCTGGAATCTCGTCCCAAGGTGTCTAGGATTGTGGCAAACACGATCATGCTGGGCGGTCCATGATCCGAGTAACATTGCTTCACATTTTGTACCGGTACGGATTTCGCAGCTTCCCGGGCTCACAAACGCCCTTATATGGGGACGGTTCTTCATGCGGCGGGCCCGTTTGAAGGCAAAAAGAGCTGGAATCTCGTCCCAAGGTGTCTAGGATTGTGGCAAACACGATCGTGCTGGGCGGTCCATGATCCTAGTAACATTGCTTCACATTTTGTACCGGTACGGATTTCGCAGCTTCCCGGGCTCACAAACGCCCTTATATGGGGACGGTTCTTCATGCGGCGGGCCCGTTTGAAGGCAAAAAGAGCTGGAATCTCGTCCGAAGGTGTCTAGGATTGTGGCAAACACGATCGTGCTGGGCGGTCCATGATCCGAGTAACATTGCTTCTCATTTTGTACCGGTACGGATTTCGCAGCTTCCCGGGCTCACAAACGCCCTTATATGGGGACGGTTCTTCATGCGGCGGGCCCGTTTGAAGGAAAAAAGAGCTGGAATCTCGTCCGAAGGTGTCTAGGATTGTGGCAAACACGATCGTGCTGGGCGGTCCATGATCCGAGTAACATTGCTTCACATTTTGTACCGGTACGGATTTCGCAGCTTCCCGGGCTCACAAACGCCCTTATATGGGGACGGTTCTTCATGCAGCGGGCACGTTTGAAGGCAAAAAGAGCTGGAATCTCGTCCCAAGGTGTCTAGGATTGTGGCAAACACGATCGTGCTGGGCGGTCCATGATCCGAGTAACATTGCTTCACATTTTATACCGGTACGGATTTCGTAGCTTCCCGGGCTCACAAACGCCCTTATATGGGGACGGTTCTTCATGCGGCGGGCCCGTTTGAAGGAAAAAAGAGCTGGAATCTCGTCCCAAGGTGTCTAGGATTGTGGCAAACACGATCGTGCTGGGCGGTCCATGATCCGAGTAACATTGCTTCACATTTTGTACCGGTACGGATTTCGCAGCTTCCCGGGTTCACAAACGCCCTTATATGGGGACGGTTCTTCATGCGGCGGGCCCGTTTGAAGGAAAAAAGAGCTGGAATCTCGTCCCAAGGTGTCTAGGATTGTGGCAAACACGATCGTGCTGGGCGGTCCATGATCCGAGTAACATTGCTTCACATTTTGTACCGGTACGGATTTCGCAGCTTCCCGGGCTCACAAACGCCCTTATATGGGGACGGTTCTTCATGCGGCGGGCCCGTTTGAAGGAAAAAAGAGCGGGAGAACGGGCCCGTTCTATCCATCATCCCGCCCCATGCCCCCGCTTTCCATCACCCCTCCCCATTCTCCCTCCTTCCATCACCCTGCCCCATTCTCTCGCTTTCCATCACCCCGCCCCATTCTCCCGCTTTCCATCACGCCGCCCCATTCTCCCGCTTTCCATCACCCCGCCCCATTCTCCCTCCTTCCATCACCCCTCCCCATTCTCCCGCTTTCCATCACCCCGCCCCATTCTCCTTTCTTCCATCACCCCGCCCCATTCTCCCTCATTCCATTACCCCGCCCCATTCTCCCGCTTTCCATCACCCCGCCCCATTCTCCCGCTTCCCATAACCCCACCCCATTCTCCCGCTTTCCATCACCCCGCCACATTTTCCCACTTTCCATCACCTCGCCCCATACTCCTTCCTTCTATCACCCCGCCCCATTCTCCCGATTTCCATCAGCCCGCCCCATTCTCCCGCTTTCCATCACCCCGCCCCTTTCTCCCGCTTTCCATCTCCCCGCCCCATTCTCCCGCTTTCCATCACCCCGCCCCATTCTCCCGCTTTCCATCACCTCGCCCCATTCTTCCGCTTCCCATCATCCCGCCCCATTCCACCGCTTTCCATCACCCCTCCCCATTCTCCCTCCTTCCATCACCCCGCCCCATTCTTCCGCTTTCCATCACCCGCCCCATTCTCCCGCTTTCCATCACCTCGCCCCATTCTCCCGCTTTCCATCACCCCGCCCCATTCTTTTGCTTTCCATCACCCCGCCCCATTCTCCCGCTTTCCATCACCCTGCCCCATTCACCCGCTTTCCATCACCCGCCCCATTCTCCCGCTTTCCATCACCCCGCCCCATTCTCCCGCTTTCCATCTGCCCGCTCCATTCTCCCGCTTTCCATCACCCCGCCCCATTCTCCCGCTTTCCATCACCCCGCCCCATTCTCCCGCTTTCCATCACTCCGACCCATTCTCCCGCTTTCCATCACCCCGACCCATTCTCCCACTTTCCAACACCCCGCCCCATTCTCCCTCCTTCCATCACCCTGCCTCATTCTCCCTCCTTCCATCACCCCGCCCCATTCTCCCGCTTTCCATCACCTCGCCCCATTCTCCCGCTTTCCATCACCCAGCCCCATTCTTTCGCTTTCCATCACCCCGCCCCATTTTCCCGCTTTCCATCACCCCGCCCCATTCTCCCGCTTTCCATCACCCTGCCCCAATCTCCCGCTTTCCATCACCCCGCCCCATTCTCCCTCCTTCCATCACCCCGCCCCATTCTCCCGCTTTCCATCACCCCGCCCCATTCTCCTGCTTTCCATCACCCAGCCCCATTCTCCCGCTTTCCATCACCCCACCCCATTCTCCCGCTTTCCATCACCCCACCCCATTCTCCCTCCTTCCATCACCCCGCCCCATTCTCCCACCTTCCATCACCCCGCCCCATTCTCCCGCTTTCCATCACCCCGCCCCATTCTCCCTCCTTCCATCACCCCGCCCCATTCTCCCTCCTTCCATCACCCCGCCCCATTCTCCCGCTTTCCATCACCCCGCCCCATTCTCCCGCTTCCCATAACCCCACCCCATTCTCCCGCTTTCCATCACCCCGCCACATTCTCCCGCTTTCTATCACCCCGCCCCATTCTCCCTCCTTCCATCACCCCGCCCCATTCTCCCGCTTTCCATCACCCCGCCCCATTCTCCCGATTTCCATCACCCCGCCCCATTCTCCCGCTTTCCATCACCCCGCCCCATTCTCCCGCTTTCCATCACCCCGCCCCATTCTCCCGCTTTCCATCATCCCGCCCCATTCTCCCTCCTTCCATCACCCCGCCCCATTCTTCCGCTTCCCATCATCCCGCCCCATTCCCCCGCTTTCCATCACCCCTCCCCATTCTCCCTCAATCCATCACCCCGCCCCATTCTCTCGCTTTCCATCACCCCGCCCCATTCTCCCACTTTCCATCACCCCGCCCCATTTTCCCGCTTTCCATCACTCCGCCCCATTATCCCTCCTTCCATCACCCCGCCCCATTCTCCCTCCTTCCATCACCCCGCCCCATTCTCCCGCTTTCCATCACCCCGCCCCAATCTCCTGCTTTCCATTACCCGCCCCATTCTCCCGCTTTCCATAACCCCACCCCATTTTCCTGCTTTCCATCACCCCGCCCCATTCTCCCGCTTTCCATCACCCTGCCCCATTCACCCGCTTTCCATTACCCGCCCCATTCTCCCTCCTTCCATCACCCCACCCCATTCTTCCGCTTTCCATCACCCGCCCCATTCTCCCGCTTTCCATCACCCCGCCCCATTCTTCTGCTTTCCATCACCCCGCCCCATTCTGCCGCTTTCCATCACCCCGCCCTATTCTCCCGCTCCATTTGCCCGCTTTCCATCACCCCGCCCCATTCTCCCGCTTTCCATCACCCCGCCCCATTCTCCCGCTTTCCATCACTCCGACCCATTCTCCCGCTTTCCATCACCCCGACCCATTCTCCCACTTTCCATCACCCCGCCCCATTCTCCCTCCTTCCATCACCCCGCCTCATTCTCCCTCCTTCCATCACCCCGCCCCTTTCTCCCGCTTTCCATCACCTCGCCCCATTCTCCCGCTTTCCATCACCCAGCCCCATTCTCCCGCTTTCCATCACCCAGCCCCATTCTCCCGCTTTCCATCACCCCGCCCCATTCTCCCGCTTTCCATCACCCTGCCCCATTCTCCCGCTTTCCATCACCCCGCCCCATTCTCCCGCTTTCCATCACCCCGCCCCATTCTCCTGCTTTCCATCACCCAGCCCCATTCTCCCGCTTTCCATCATCCCGCCCCATGGAAAGCGGGAGAATGGGGCGGGGTGATGGAAAGCGGGAGAATGGGGCGGGGTGATGGAAAGAGGAAGAAAGGGGCGGGGTGATGGAAAGCGGGAGAATGGGGCGAAGTGATGGAAAGCGGGAGAATGGGGCGGGGTGATGGTAAGCGGGAGAATGGGGCGGGGTAATGGAAAGCGGAAGAATGGGGCGGGGTGACGGAAAGCGGGAGAATGGGGCGGGGTGATGGAAAGCGGGAGCATGGGGCGAGGTGATGGAAAGCTTGAGAATGGGGCGGGGTGATGGAAAGCGGGAGAATGGGGCGGGGTGATGGAAAGCGGGAAAATGGGGCGGGTGATGGAAAGCGGGATAGTGGGGCTGGGTGACGGAAAGCGGGAGAATGGGGCGGGGTGATGGAAAGAGGGAGAATAGGGCGGGGTGATGGAAAGCAGGAGAATGGGGCGGGGTGATGGAAAGCGGGAGAATGGGGCGGGGTGATGGAAAGCGGGAGAATGGGGCGGGGTGATGGAAAGCTGGAGAATGGGGCGGGGTGATGGAAAGCGGGAGAATGGGGCGGGGTGATGGAAAGAGAGAGAATGGGGCGGGGTGATGGAAAGCGAAGAATGGGGCGGGGTGACAGAAAGAGGGAGAAATGAGCGGGGTGATGGAAAGTGGGAGAATGGGGCGGGGTGACGGAAAGTGGGAGAATGGGGCGGGGTGATGGAAAGAGGGAGAATGGGGAGGGGTGATGGAAAGCGGGAGAATGTGGCGGGGTGATGGAAAGTGGGAGAATGGGGCAGGGTGATGGAAAAGGGGAGAATGGGGCGGGGTGATGGAAAGCGGGAGAATGGGGCAAGGTGATGGAACGCGGGAGAAAGGGGTGGGGTGATGGAAAGCGGGAGAGTGGGGCGGGGTGATGGAAAGAGGGAGAATAGGGTGGGGTGATGGAAAGAGGGAGAATGGGGCAGGGTGATGGAAAGAGGGAGAATGGGGCAGGGTGATACAAAGCGGGAGAATGGGGCGGGGTGATGGAAAGCGGGAGAATGGGGCGGGGTGATGGAAAGCGGGAGAATGGGGTGGGGTGATGGAAAGCATGAGAATGGGGCGGCGTGATGGAAAGCGGGAGAATGGGGCGGGGTCATGGAAAGAGGAAGAATATGGCGGGGTGATGGAAAGCGGGAGAATGGGGCGGGGTGATGGAAAGCGGGAGAATGGGGCAGGGTGATGGAAAGCGGGAGAATGGGGCAGGGTGGTGGAAAGCGGGAGAATGGGGCGGGCTGATGGAATGAGGGGGAATAGGGCAGGGTGATGGAAAGAGGGAGAATGGGGCGGGGTGATGAAAAGCGGAAGAATGGGGCGGGGTGATGGAAAGAGGGAGAATGGGGCGGGGTGATGAAAAGCAGAAGAATGGGGCACGGTGATGGAAAGAGGGAGAATGGGGCGGGGTGATGGAAAGAGGGTTAATGGGGCGGGGTGATGAAAATCGGAAGAATGGGGCGGGGTGATGGAAATCGGGAGAATGGGGCGGGGTGATGGAAAGCGGGAGAATGGGGCGGGGTGATGGAAAGCGGGAGAATGGGGTGGGGTGATGGAGCGGGAGAATGGGGCGGGGTGTTGGAAAGCGGGAGAATGGGGCGGGGTGATGGAAAGAGGGAGAATAGGGCGGGGTGATGGAAAGAGGGAGAATGGGGCGGGATGATGAAAAGAGGGAGAATGGGTCAGGGTGATGGAAAGCGGGAGAATGGGGCAGGGTGATGGAAAGCGGGAGAATGGGGTGGAGTGATGGAAAGCAGGAGAATGGGGCGGGGTGATGGAAAGCAGGAGAATGGGGCGGGGTGATGGAAAGCGGGAGAATGGGGCGGGGTGATGGAAAGCGGGAGAATGGGGCGGGATGATGGAAAGCGGGAGAATGGGGCGAGATGATGGAAAGAGGGAGAATGGGGTGGGGTAATGGAAAGAGGGAGAAAGGGGCGGGAGATTAAAAGAGGGAGAATGGGGCGGGGTGATGGAAAGCGGGAGAATGGGGCGGGGTGATGGAAAGCGGGAGAATGGGGCGGGGTGATGGAAAGCGGGAGAATGGGGCGGGGTGATGGAAAGCATGAGAATGGGGCGGCGTGATGGAAAGCGGGAGAATGGGGCGGGGTCATGGAAAGAGGAAGAATATGGCGGGGTGATGGAAAGCGGGAGAATGGGGCGGGGTGATGGAAAGCGGGAGAATGGGGCAGGGTGATGGAAAGCGGGAGAATGGGGCAGGGTGGTGGAAAGCGGGAGAATGGGGCGGGCTGATGGAATGAGGGGGAATAGGGCAGGGTGATGGAAAGAGGGAGAATGGGGCGGGGTGATGAAAAGCGGAAGAATGGGGCGGGGTGATGGAAAGAGGGAGAATGGGGCGGGGTGATGAAAAGCAGAAGAATGGGGCACGGTGATGGAAAGAGGGAGAATGGGGCGGGGTGATGGAAAGAGGGTTAATGGGGCGGGGTGATGAAAATCGGAAGAATGGGGCGGGGTGATGGAAATCGGGAGAATGGGGCGGGGTGATGGAAAGCGGGAGAATGGGGCGGGGTGATGGAAAGCGGGAGAATGGGGTGGGGTGATGGAGCGGGAGAATGGGGCGGGGTGTTGGAAAGCGGGAGAATGGGGCGGGGTGATGGAAAGAGGGAGAATAGGGCGGGGTGATGGAAAGAGGGAGAATGGGGCGGGATGATGAAAAGAGGGAGAATGGGTCAGGGTGATGGAAAGCGGGAGAATGGGGCAGGGTGATGGAAAGCGGGAGAATGGGGTGGAGTGATGGAAAGCAGGAGAATGGGGCGGGGTGATGGAAAGCAGGAGAATGGGGCGGGGTGATGGAAAGCGGGAGAATGGGGCGGGGTGATGGAAAGCGGGAGAATGGGGCGGGATGATGGAAAGCGGGAGAATGGGGCGAGATGATGGAAAGAGGGAGAATGGGGTGGGGTAATGGAAAGAGGGAGAAAGGGGCGGGTGATTAAAAGAGGGAGAATGGGGCGGGGTGATGGAAAGCGGGAGAATGGGGCGGGGTGATGGAAAGCGGGAGAATGGGGCGGGGTGATGGAAAGCGGGAGAATGGGGCGGGGTGATGGAAAGCGGGAGAATGGGGCGGGATGATGGAAAGCGGGAGAATGGGGCGGGATGATGGAAAGAGGGAGAATGGGGTGGGGTAATGGAAAGAGGGAGAAAGGGGCGGGTGATTAAAAGAGGGAGAATGGGGCGGGGTGATGGAAAGCGGGAGAATGGGGCGGGGTGATGGAAAGCGGGAGAATGGGGCGAAGTGATGGAAAGCGGGAGAATGGGGCGGGGTGATGGAAAGCGGGAGAATGGGGGGGTAATGGAAAGCAGAAGAATGGGGCGGGGTGACGGAAAGCGGGAGAATGGGGCGGGGTGATGGAAAGCGGGAGCATGGGGCGAGGTGATGGAAAGCTTGAGAATGGGGCAGGTTGATGGAAAGCGGGAGAATGGGGCGGGGTGATGGAAAGCGGGAAAATGGGGCGGGTGATGGAAAGCGGGATAATGGGGCTGGGTGACGGAAAGCGGGAGAATGGGGCGGGGTGATGGAAAGAGGGAGAATGGGGCGGGGTGATGGAAAGCGGGAGAATGGGGCGGGGTGATGGAAAGCTGGAGAATGGGGCGGGGTGACGGAAAGAGGGTGAATGGGGCGGGGTGATGGAAAGCGGAAGAATGGGGCGGGGTGATGGAAAGCGGGAGAATGGGGCGGGGTGATGGAAAGCGGGAGAATGGGGCGGGGTGATGGAAAGCGGGAGAATGGGGCGGGGTGATGGAATGCTGGAGAATGGGGCGGGGTGATGGAAAGCGGAAGAATGGGGCGGGGTGATGGAAATAGGGAGAATGGGGTGGGGTGATGGAAAGAGGGAGAATGGGGCAGGGTGATGGAAAGAGGGAGAATGGGGCGGGGTGATGGAAAGAGGGACAATGGGGCGGGGTGATGGAAAGCGGGAGAATGGGGCGGGGTGATGGAAAGCGGGAGAATGAGGCGGGGTGATGGAAAGAGGGAGAATGGCTTGGGGTGATGGAAAGCGGGAGAATGGGGCAGGGTGATGGAAAGCGGGAGAATGGGGCGGGGTGATGGAAAGCGGGAGAATGGGGCGGGGTGATGGAAAGCGGGAGAATGGGGCGGGGTGATGGAAAGAGGGAGAATGGGGCGCGGTGATGGAAAGCGGGAGAATAGGACGGGGTGATGGAAAGCTGGAGAATGGGGCGGGGTGATGGAAAGCTGGAGAATGGGGCGGGGTGACGGAAAGAGGGTGAATGGGGCGGGGTGATGGAAAGCGGAAGAATGGGGCGGGGTGATGGAAAGCGGGAGAATGGGGCGGGGTGATGGAAAGCGGGAGAATGGGGCGGGGTGATGGAAAGCGGGAGAATGGGGCGGGGTGATGGAATGCTGGAGAATGGGGCGGGGTGATGGAAAGCGGAAGAATGGGGCGGGGTGATGGAAATAGGGAGAATGGGGTGGGGTGATGGAAAGAGGGAGAATGGGGCAGGGTGATGGAAAGAGGGAGAATGGGGCGGGGTGATGGAAAGAGGGACAATGGGGCGGGGTGATGGAAAGCGGGAGAATGGGGCGGGGTGATGGAAAGCGGGAGAATGAGGCGGGGTGATGGAAAGAGGGAGAATGGCTTGGGGTGATGGAAAGCGGGAGAATGGGGCAGGGTGATGGAAAGCGGGAGAATGGGGCGGGGTGATTGAAAGCGGGAGAATGGGGCGGGGTGATGGAAAGCGGGAGAATGGGGCGGGGTGATGGAAAGAGGGAGAATGGGGCGCGGTGATGGAAAGCGGGAGAATGGGACGGGGTGATGGAAAGCGGGAGAATTGGGCGAGGTGATGGATAGAGGGAGAATGGGGCAGGGTGATGGAAAGAGGGAGAATGGGGCGGGGTGATGGAAAGCGGGAGAATGGGGCGGGGTGATGGAAAGCAGGAGAATGGGGCGGGGTGATGAAAAAAGGGAGAATGGGGCGGGCTGATGGAAAGAGGGAGAATGGGGCGGGGTGATGGAAAGCGGGAGAATGGGGAAGGGTGATGGAAATCGGGAGAATGGGGCGGAGTGATGGAAAGGGGGAGAATGGGGCGGGGTGATAGAAAGAGGGAGAATGGGGCGGGGTGATGGAAAGCGGGAGAATGGGGCGGGGTGATGGAAAGCAAGAGAATGGGGCGGGGTGATGGAAAGCGGGAAAATGGGGCAGGGTGATGGAAGGCGGGAGAATGGGGAAGGGTGGTGGAAAGCGGGAGAATGGGGCGGGCTGATGGAAAGAGGGGGAATGGAGCGAGGTGATGGAAAGAGGGAGAATGGGGCGTGGTGATGAAAAGCGGAAGAATGGGGCGGGTTGATGTAAAGAGGGAGAATGGTGCGGGGTGATGGAAAGAGGCTGAATGGGGCGGGGTGATGGAAAGCGGAAGAATGGGGCGGGGTGATGGAAAGCGGGAGAATGGGGCGGGGTGATGGAAAGCAGGAGAATGGGACGGGGTGATAATAAGCGGGAGAATAGGGCGGGGTGATGGAAAGAGGGAGAATGGGGCGGGGTGATGGAAAGCAGGAGAATGGGGCGGGGTGATGGAAAGCGGAAGAATCGGGCGGGGTGATGGAAAGCGGGAGAATGAGGCGGGGTGATGGAAAGAGGGAGAATGGGGTGGGGTGATGGAAAGCGGGAGAATGTTGCTTGGTGATGGAAATAGGGAGAATGAGGCGGGGTGATGGAAAGAGGGAGAATGGGGCGGGGTGATGAAAAGAAGGAGAATGGGGCGCGGTGATGAAAAGAGGGAGAATGGGGAGGGGTAATGGAAAGCAGGAGAATGGGGCGGTGTGATGGAAAGAGGGAGAATGGGGCGAGGTGATGGAAAGCGGGAGAATGGGGCTGGGTGATGGAAAGAGGGACAATGGGGAGGGGTGATGGAAAGAGGGAGAATTGGGCGGGGTGATGGAAAGCGGGAGAATGGAGCGGGGTGATGGAAAGCGGGAGAATGGGGCGGGGTGATGGAAAGCGGGACAATGGGACGGTGTGATGGAAAGAGCGAAAATGGGGTGGGGTGATGGAAAGAGGGAGAATGGGCCGATGTGATGGAAAGCGGGAGAATGGGGCGGGGTGATGGAAAGCGGGAGAATGGGGCGGGGTGATGGAAAGAGGGAGAATGGGGCAGGGTGATGGAAAGCGGGAGAATGGGGCGAGGTGATGGAAAGCGGGAGAATGGGGCGGAGTGATGGAAAGCGGGAGAATGGGGCGGGGTGATGGAAAGCAGGAGAATGGGACCGGGTGATGGAAAGCGGGAGAATGGGGCGGGGTGATGGAAAGAGGAAGAATATGGTGGGGTGATGGAAAGCGGGAGAATGGGGCAGGGTGGTGGAAAGCGGGAGAATGGGGCGGGCTGATGGAAAGAGAGGGAATGGGGCGGGGTGATGGAAAGAGGGAGAATGGGGCGGGGTGATGAAAAGCGGAAGATTGGGGCGGGGTGATCGAAAGAGGGAGAATGGGGCGGGGTGATGAAAAGCGGAAGAATGGGACACGGTGATAAAACGAGGGAGGATGGGGCGAGGTGATGGAAAGAGGGTTAATGGGGCGGGGTGATGGAAAGCGGAAGAATGGAACGGGGTGATGGAAAGCGGGAGAATGGGGCGGGGTGATGGAGAGCGGGAGAATGGGGCGGGGTGATGGAAAGAGGGAGAATGGGGCAGGGTGATGGAAAGCGGGAGAATGGGGCGAGGTGATGGAAAGCGGGAGAATGGGGCGGAGTGATGGAAAGCGGGAGAATGGGGCGGGGTGATGGAAAGCAAGAGAATGGGGCCGGGTGATGGAAAGCGGGAGAATGGGGCGGGGTGATGGAAAGAGGAAGAATATGGTGGGGTGATGGAAAGCGGGAGAATGGGGCAGGGTGATGGAAAGCTGGAGAATGGGGCAGGGTGATGGAAAGCGGGAGAATGGGGCAGGGTGGTGGAAAGCGGGAGAATGGGGCGGGCTGATGGAAAGAGAGGGAATGGGGCGGGGTGATGGAAAGAGGGAGAATGGGGCGGGGTGATGAAAAGCGGAAGAATGGGGCGGGGTGATCGAAAGAGGGAGAATGGGGCGGGGTGATGAAAAGCGGAAGAATGGGACACGGTGATGGAACGAGGGAGGATGGGGCGAGGTGATGGAAAGAGGGTTAATGGGGCGGGGTGATGGAAAGCGGAAGAATGGGGCGGGGTGATGGAAAGCGGGAGAATGGGGCGGGGTGATGGAAAGCGGGAGAATGGGGCGGGGTGATGGAAAGCGGGAGAATGGGGCGGGGTGATGGAAAGCGGGAGAATGGGGCGGGGTGATGGAAAGCGGGAGAATGGGGCGGGGTGATGGAAAGAGGGAGAATAGGGCGGGGTGATGGAAAGAGGGAGAATGGGGCAGGGTAATGAAAAGAGGGAGAATGGGTCGGGGTGATGGAAAGCGGGAGAATGGGGCAGGGTGATGGAAAGCGGGAGAATGGGGTGGGGTGATGGAAAGCGGGAGAATTGGGCGGGGTGATGGAAAGCAGGAGAATGGGGCGGGGTGATGGAAAGCGGGAGAATGGGGCGGGGTGATGGAAAGCGGGAGAATGGGGCGGGGTGGTGGAAAGCGGGAGAATGGGGCAGGGTGATGGAAGGCGGGAGAATGGGGAAGGGTGGTGGAAAGCGGGAGAATGGGGCGGGCTGATGGAAAGAGGGGAAATGGAGCGAGGTGATGGAAAGAGGGAGAATGGGGCATGGTGATGAAAAGCGGAAGAATGGGGCGGGGTGATGGAAAGAGGGAGAATGGGGCGGGGTGATGGAAAGAGGCTGAATGGGGCGGGGTGATGGAAAGCGGAAGAATGGGGCGGGGTGATGGAAAGCAGGAGAATGGGGCGGGGTGATGGAAAGCAGGAGAATGGGACGGGGTGATAATAAGCGGGAGAATGGGGCGGGGTGATGGAAAGAGGGAGAATGGGGCGGGGTGATGGAAAGAGGGAGAACGGGGCGGGGTGATGGAAAGAGGGAGAATGGGGCGGGGTGATGGAAAGAGGGAGAATGGGGCGGGGTGATGGAAAGAGGGAGAATGGGGCGGGGTGATGGAAAGCGTGAGAATGGGGCGGGGTGATGGAAAGCGGGAGAATGGGGCGGGGTGATGGAAAGAGGGAGAATGGGGCGGGGTGATGGAAAGCGGGAGAATGTTGCTTGGTGAGGGAAATAGGGAGAATGAGGCGGGATGATGGAAAGAGGGAGAATGGGGCGGGGTGATGAAAAGAAGGAGAATGGGGCGGGGTGATGAAAAGAGGGAAAATGGGGCGGGGTGATGGAAAGCGGGAGAATGGGGCGGGGTGATGGAAAGAGGGAGAATGGAGCGGGGTGATGGAAAGCGGGAGAATGGGGCTGGGTGATGGAAAGAGGGACAATGGGGAGGGGTGATGGAAAGAGGGAGAATTGGGCGGGGTGATGGAAAGCGGGAGAATGGAGCGGGGTGATGGAAAGCGGGAGAATGGGGCGGGGTGATGGAAAGCGGGACAATGGGACGGTGTGATGGAAGGAGCAAAAATGGGGTGGGGTGATGGAAAGAGGGAGAATGGGGCGGGGTGATGGAAAGCGGGAGAATGGGGCGGGGTGATGGAAAGCAAGAGAATGGGGCGGGGTGATGGAAAGCGGGAGAATGGGGCGGGGTGATGGAAAGAGGAAGAATATGGCGGGGTGATGGAAAGCACGAGAATGGGGCAAGGTGATGGAAAGCGGGAGAATGGGGCAGGGTGATGGAAAGCGAAAGAATGGGGCGGGTTGATGGAAAGCGGGAGAATGGGGCGGGGTGATGGAAAGCGGGAGAATGGGGCGGGGTGATGGAAAGCGGGAGAATGGGGCGGGGTGATGGAAAGCGGGAGAATGGGGCGGGGTGATGGAAAGCTGGAGAATGTGGCGGGGTGATGGAAAGCGGAAGAATGGGGCGGGGTGATGGAAATAGGGAGAATGGGGCGGGGTGATGGAAAGAGGGAGAACGGGGCGGGGTGATGGAAAGAGGGAGAATGGGGCGGGGTGATGGAAAGAGGGAGAATGGGGCGGGGTGATGGAAAGAGAGAGAATGGGGCGGGGTGATGGAAAGCGTGAGAATGGGGCGGGGTGATGGAAAGCGGGAGAATGGGGCGGGGTGATGGAAAGTGGGAGAATGCGGCAGGGTAATGGAAATAGGGAGAATGGGCCGGGCTGATGGAAAGCGGGAGAATGGGGTGGGGTGATGGAAAGAGGGAGAATGGGGCGGGGTGATGAAAAGAGGGAGAATGGGACGGGGTGATGGAAAGCGGGAGAATGGGGCGGGGTGATGGAAAGCGGGAGAATGGGGCGGGATGATGGAAAGTAGGAGTATGGGGTGGGGTGATGGAAAACGGGAGAATGGGCCGGGGTGATGGAAAGCGGGAGAATGGGGCGCGGTGATGGAAAGCGGGAGAATGGGGCGGGGTGATGGAAAGCGGGAGAATGGGGCAGGGTGATGGAAAGCGGGATCACGGGGCAGGGTGGTGGAAAGCGGGAGAATGGGGCGGGGTGATGGAAAGCGGGAGAATGGGGCGGGGTGATGAAAAGAGGGAGAATGGGGAGGGGATATGGAAAGCGGGAGAATGGGGCGGGGTGATGGAAAGTGGGAGAATGGGGCGGGGTGATGGAAAACGGGAGAATGGGCTGGGGTGATGGAAAGCGGGAGAATGTGGCAGGGTGGTGGAAAGCGGGAGAATGGAGCGGGGTGATGGAAAGCGGGAGAATGTGGCAGGGTGGTGGAAAGCGGGAGAATGGGGTGTGGTGATGGAAAGCGGGGAAATGGAGCGGGGTGATGGAAAGCGGGAGAATGGGGAGCGGTGATGGAAAGCGGGAGAATGGGGCGGGGTGATGGAAAGCGGAAGAATGGGGCGGGGTGATGGAAAGCGGGAGAATGGGGCGGGGTGATGGAAAGAGGGAGAATAGGGCGGGGTGATGTAAAGAGGGAGAATGGGGCGAGGTGATGGAAAGCAGGAGAATGGGGCGGGGTGATGGAAAGCAGGAGAATGGGACAGGGTGATAATAAGCGGGAGAATGGGGCGAGGTGATGGAAAGAGGGAGAATGGGGCGGGGTGATGGAAAGCGGGAGAATGGGGCGGGGTGATGGAAAGCGGGAGAATCGAGCGGGGTGATGGAAAGCTGGAGAATGGGGCGGGGTGATGGAAAGCGGAAGAATGGGGCGGGGTGATGGAAAGCGGGAGAATGGGGCGGGGTGATGGAAAGCGGAAGAATGGGGCGAGGTGATGGAAATAGGGATAATGGGGCAAGGTGATGGAAAGCGGGAGAATGGGGCGGGGTGATGGAAAGAGGGAGAATGGGGCGGGGTGATGGAAAGCGGGAGAATGTTGCTTGGTGATAGAAATAGGGAGAATGAGGCGGGGTGAGGGAAAGAGGGAGAATGGGGCGGGGTGATGAAAAGAAGGAGAATGGGGCGGGGTGATGAAAAGAGGGAGAATGGGGCGGGGTGGTGGAAAGCGGGAGAATGGGGCGGGGTGATGGAAAGAGGGAGAATGGGGCGGGGTGATGGAAAGCGGGAGAATGGGGCTGGGTGAAGGAAAGAGGGACAATGGGGAGGGGTGATGGAAAGAGGGAGAATTGGGCGGGGTGATGGAAAGCGGGAGAATGGAGCGGGGTGATGGAAAGCGGGAGAATGGGGCGGGGTGATGGAAAGCAGGACAATTGGACGGTGTGATGGAAAGAGCGAAAATGGGGTGGGGTGATGGAAAGAGGGAGAATGGGCCGATGTGATGGAAAGCGGGAGAATGGGGCGGGGTGATGGAAAGCGGGAGAATGGGGCAAGGTGATGGAAAGCGGGAGAATGTTTCTTGGTGATGGAAATAGGGAGAATGAGGCGGGGTGAGGGAAAGAGGGAGAATGGGGCGGGGTGATGAAAAGAAGGAGAATGGGGCGGGGTGATGAAAAGAGGGAGAATGGGGCGGGGTGGTGGAAAGCGGGAGAATGGGGCGGGGTGATGGAAAGAGGGAGAATGGGGCGGGGTGATGGAAAGCGGGAGAATGGGGGTGGGTGAAGGAAAGAGGGACAATGGGGAGGGGTGATGGAAAGAGGGAGAATTGGGCGGGGTGATGGAAAGCGGGAGAATGGAGCGGGGTGATGGAAAGCGGGAGAATGGGGCGGGGTGATGGAAAGCAGGACAATTGGACGGTGTGATGGAAAGAGCGAAAATGGGGTGGGGTGATAGAAAGAGGGAGAATGGGCCGATGTGATGGAAAGCGGGAGAATGGGGCGGGGTGATGGAAAGCGGGAGAATGGGGCAGGGTGATGGAAAGCAGGAGAATGGGGCGGGGTGATGGAAAGCGGGAGAATGGGGCGGGGTGATGGAAAGAGGAAGAAGATGGCGGGGTGATGGAAAGTGGGAGAATGGGGCAAGGTGATGGAAAGCGGGAGAATGTGGCAGGGTGATGGAAAGCGGGAGAATGGGGCGGGGTGATAGAAAGCGGGAAAATGTGGCAGGGTGATGGAAAGCGGGAGAATGGGGTGGGGTTATGGGAAGCGGGAGAATGGGGCGGGGTGATGGAAAGCGGGAGAATGGGGCGGGCTGATGGAAAGCGGGAGAATGGGGCGGGGTGATGGAAGGAGGGAGAATGGGGCGGGGTGATGGAAGGAGGGAGAAGGGGGCGGGGTGATGGAAAGCGGGAGAATGGGGCGGGGTGATGGAAAGCGGGAGAATGGGGCGGGGTGATGGAAGGAGGGAGAATGGGGCGGGGTGATGGAAAGCGGGAGAATGGGGCGGGATGATGGGAAGCGGGAGAATGGGGCGGGGTGATGGCAAGCGGGAGAATGGGGTGGGTGATGGAAAGAGGTAGAATTGGGCGGGGTGATGGAAAGAGGGAGAATGGGGAGGGGTGATGGAAAGAGGGAGAATGGGGCGGGGTGATGGAAAGCGGGAGAATGGAGTGGGGTGATGGAAAGCAAGAGAATGGGGCGGGGTCATGGAAAGTGGGAGAATGGGGCGGGCTGATGGAAAGAGGGAGAATGGGGCGGGGTGATAGAAAGCGGGAGAATGGGGCAGGGTGATGGAAAGAGGGAGAATGGGGCGGGGTGATGGAAAGAGGGAGAATGGGGCAGGGTGATGGAAAGGGGGAGAATGGGGCAGGGTGATGAAAAGAGGGAGAATGGGGAGGGGTGATGGAAAGAGGGAGAATTGGGCAGGGTGATGGAAAGTGGGAGATTGGAACAAGGTGATGGAAAGCGGGAGAATGGGGCGGGGTGATGGAAAGAGGGAGAATGGGGCGCGGTGTTGGAAAGCGGGAGAATGGGACGGGGTGATGGAAAGCGGGAGAATTGGGCGAGGTGATGGATAGAGGGAGAATGGGGCAGGGTGATGGAAAGAGGGAGAATGGGGCGGGGTGATGGAAAGCGGGAGAATGGGGCGGGGTGATGGAAAGCAGGAGAATGGGGCGGGGTGATGGAAAAAGGGAGAATGGGGCGGGCTGATGGAAAGAGGGAGAATGGGGCGGGGTGATGGAAAGCGGGAGAATGGGGAAGGGTGATGGAAATCGGGAGAATGGGGCGGAGTGATGGAAAGGGGGAGAATGGGGCGGGGTGATAGAAAGAGTGAGAATTGGGCGGGGTGATGGAAAGCGGGAGAATGGGGAGGGGTGATAGAAAGAGGGAGAATGGGGCGGGGTGGTGGAAAGCGGGAGAGTGGGGCGGGGTGATGGAAAGAGGGAAAATGGGGCGGGGTGATGGAAAGCGGGAGAATGGGGCGCGGTGATGGAAAGTGGGAGAATGGGGCGGGGTAAAGGAAAGCGGGAGAATGGGGCGGGGTGATGGAAAGAGGGAGAATGGGGCGGGGTGATGGAAAGCGGGAGAATGGGGCGGGGGGATGGAAAAGGGGAGAATAGGGAGGGGTGATAGAAAGAGGGAGAATTGGGCGGGGTGATGGAAAGCGGGAGAATGGGGCGGGGTGATGAAAAGAGGGAAAATGGGGCGGGGTGATGGAAAGCGGGAGAATGGGGCGGGGTGATGGAAAGAGGGAGAATGGGGCGGGGTGATGGAAAGAGGGAGAATGGGGCGGGGTGATGGAAAGAGGGAGAATTGGGCGGGGTGATGGAAAGAGGGAGAATGGGGAGGGGTGATGGAAAGAGGGAGAATTGGGCGGGGTGACGGAAAGTGGGAGAATGGGGCGGGGTGATGGAAAGCGGGAGAATGGGGCGGGGTGATGGATAGAGGGAGTATGGGGAGGGGTGATGGAAAGCGGGAGAATGGGGCAGGGTGACGGAAAGAGGGAGAATGGAGCGGGGTGATGGAAAGCGGGAGAATGGGGCGGGGTGACGGAAAGTGGGAGAATGGGGCGGGGTGATGGAAAGAGGGAGAATGGGGCGGGGTGATGGAAAGCGGGAGAATGGGGGGGGGTTGATGGGAAGAGGGGGAATTGGGCTGGGTGATTGAAAGCGGGAGAATGGAGCGGGGTGATGGAAAGCTGGAGAATGGGGCGGGGTGATGGAAAGCGGGAGAATGGGGCGGGGTGATGGAAAGAGGGAAAATGGGGCGGGGTGATGGAAAGAGGGAGAATGGGGAGGGGTGATAGAAAGAGGGAGAATTGGGCGAGGTGATGGAAAGCGGGAGAAGGGGGAGGGGTGATAGAAAGAGGGAGAATGGGGCGGGGTGATAAAAACCGGGAGAATGGTGCGGGGTGATGGAAAGAGGGAAAATGGGGCGGGGTGATGGAAAGAGGGAGAATGGGGCGGGGTGATGGAAAGCGGGAGAATGGGGCGGGGTGATGGAAAGAGGGAGAATGGGGCGGGGTGATGGAAAGCGGGAGAATGGGGGGGTGTTGATGGAAAGAGGGAGAATTGGGCTGGGTGATTGAAAGCGGGAGAATGGAGCGGGGTGATGGAAAGCTGGAGAATGGGGCGGGGTGATGGAAAGCAGGAGAATGGGGCGGGGTGATGGAAAGAGGGAAAATGGGGCGGGGTAATGGAAAGCGGGAGAATGGGGCGGGGTGATGGAAAGAGGGAGAATGAGGCGGGGTGATGGAAAGCGGGAGAATGGGGCGGGTGATGGAAAGAGGGAGAGTGGGGGGCGGGGTGATGGAAAGAGGTAGAATGGGGAGGGGTGATGGAAAGAGGGAGAGTTGGGCGGGGTGATGGAAAGCGGGAGAATGGGGCGCGGTGATGGAAAGCGGGAGGATGGGGCGGGGTTATGGAAAGCGGGAGAATGGGGCGGGGTGATGGAAAGAGGGAGAATGGGGCGGAGTGATGGAAAGCGGGAGAATGGGGCGGGGTGACGAAAAGAGGGAGAATGGAGCGGGGTGATGGAAAGCGGGAGAATGGGGCGGGGTGACGGAAAGTGGGAGAATGGGGCGGGGTGATGGAAAGAGGGAGAATGGGGAGGGGTGATGGAAAGCGGGGGAATGTGGCGGGGTGATGGAAAGTGGGATAATGGGGCGGGGTGATGGAAAGAGGGAAAATGGGGAGGGGTGATGGAATGCGGGAGAATGGGGCGGGGTGATAGAAAGAGGGAGAATGGGGAGGGGTGATAGAAAGAGGGAGAATTGGGCGGGGTGATGGAAAGCGGGAGAATGGGGAGGGGTGATAGAAAGAGGGAGAATGGGGCGGGGTGATGGAAAGCGGGAGAATGGGGCGGGGTGATGGAAAGAGGGAAAATGGGGCGGGGTGATGGGAAGTGGGAGAATGGGGCGGGGTGATGGAAAGCGGGAGAATGGGGCGGGGTCATGGAAAGCGGGAGAATGGGGCGGGGTGATGGAAAGAGGGAGAATGGGGCGGGGTGATGGAAAGCGGGAGAATGCGGTGGGGTGATAGAAAGAGGGAGAATGGGGCGGGGTGATGGAAAGCGGGAGAATGGGGCGGGGTGATGGAAAGAGGGAAAATGGGGCGGGGTGATGGAAAGCGGGAGAATGGGGCGGGGTGATAGAAAGAGGGAGAATGGGGCGGGGTGATGGAAAGCGGGAGAATGGGGCGGGGTGATGGAAAGAGGGAAAATGGGGCGGGGTGATGGAAAGCGGGAGAATGGGGCGGGGTGATGGAAAGAGGGAGAATGGGGCGGGGTGATGGAAAGCGGGAGAATAGGGCGGGGGGATGGAAAAGGGGAGAATGGGGAGGGGTGATAGAAAGAGGGAGAATTGGGCGGGGTGATGGAAAGCGGGAGAATGGGGAGGGGTGATAGAAAGAGGGAGGATGGGGCAGGGTGATGGAAAGCGGGAGAATGGGGCGGGGTGATGGAAAGAGGGAAAATGGGGCGGGGTGGAGGAAAGTGGAAGAATGGGGCGGGGTGATGGAAAGAGGGAGAATGGGGCGGGGTGATGGAAAGAGGGAGAATGGGGCCGGGTGATGGAAAGCGGGAGAATGGGGCGGGGTGATAGAAAGAGGGAGGATGGGGCAGGGTGATGGAAAGCGGGAGAATGGGGCGGGGTGACGGAAAGAGGGAGAATGGGGAGGGGTGATGGAAAGCGGGAGAATGTGGCGGGGTGATGGAAAGAGGGAGAATGGGGCGGCGTGATGGAAAGAGGGAAAATGGGGCGGGGTGATGGAAAGCGGGAGAATGGGGCGGGGTGATAGAAAGAGGGAGAATGGGGAGGGGTGATAGAAAGAGGGAGAATTGGGCGGGATGATGGAAAGCGGGAGAAGGGGGAGGGGTGATAGAAAGAGGGAGAATGGGGCGAGGTGATGGAAAGCGGGAGAATGGGGCGGGGTGATGGAAAGAGGGAAAATGGGGAGGGGTGATGGAAAGCGGGAGAATGTGGCGGGGTGATGGAAAGAGGGAGAATGGGGCGGGGTGATGGAAAGAGGGAAAATGGGGCGGGGTGATGGAAAGCGGGAGAACGGGGCGGGGTGATAGAAAGAGGGAGAATGGGAAGGGTTGATAGAAAGAGGGGAATTGGGCGGGGTGATGGAAAGCGGGAGAAGGGGGAGGGGTGATAGAAAGAGGGAGAATGGGGCGGGGTGATGGAAAGCGGGAGAATGGGGCGGGGTGATGGAAAGAGGGAAAATGGGGAGGGGTGATGGAAAGCGGGAGAATGTGTCGGGGTGATGGAAAGAGGGAGAATGGGGCGGGGTGATGGAAAGAGGGAAAATGGGGCGGGGTGATGGAAAGCGGGAGAATGGGGCGGGGTGATAGAAAGAGGGAGAATGGGGACGGGTGATAGAAAGAGGGAGAATTGGGCGGGGTGATGGAAAGCGGGAGAAGGGGGAGGGGTGATAGAAAGAGGGAGAATGGGGCGGGGTGATGGAAAGCGGGAGAATGGGGCGGGGTGATGGAAAGAGGGAAAATGAGGCGGGGTGATGGAAAGAGGGAGAATGGGGCGGGGTGATGGAAAGCGGGAGAATGGGGCGCGGTGATGGAAAGTGGGAGAATGGGGGGCGGGGTGATGGAAAGAGGTAGAATGGGGAGGGGTGATCGAAAGAGGGAGAATTGGGCGGGGTGATGGAAAGCGGGAGAATAGAGCGGGGTGATGGAAAGTGGGAGAATGGGGCGGAGTGACGGAAAGAGGGAGAATGGGGAGGGGTGATGGAAAGCGGGAGAATATGGCGGGGTGACGGAAAGAGGGAGAATGGGGAGGGGTGATGGAAAGCGGGAGAATGTGGCGGGGTGATGGAAAGAGGGAGAATGGGGCGGGTTGATGGAAAGAGGGAAAATGGGGCGGGGTGATGGAAAGCAGGAGAATGGGGCGGGGTGATAGAAAGAGGGAGAATGGGGAGGGGTGATAGAAAGAGGGAGAATTGGGCGGGGTGATGGAAAGCGGGAGAACGGGGCGGGGTGATAGAAAGAGGGAGAATTGGAAGGGGTGATAGAAAGAGGGGAATTGGGCGGGGTGATGGAAAGCGGGAGAAGGGGGAGGGGTGATAGAAAGAGGGAGAATGGGGCGGGGTGATGGAAAGCGGAAGAATGGGGCGGGGTGATGGAAAGAGGGAAAATGGGGAGGGGTGATGGGAAGCACGAGAATGTGGCGGGGTGATGGAAAGAGGGAGAATGGGGCGGGGTGATGGAAAGAG